TTTTATGGAAATGATTATGATGCCACATGCTGAGCAATACATATAACCATAGAAAGTTAATCACATCTTTCGATGTCCGTAACAAATAGTTCGACAAATAATTATTTTTCAAGGTGAAATAAAATGATGAATATTTCGATCATTCATCAAGATATTGTATTGTATCTTATGCAATCAATTCAACGAAAAGTGAAGAAAAGCGTAAAACAGTCTGGATAACAACACCTGGGATTATCTCACAGGTGTTTTCTAGATGTGTTTATTCATTTAGAAAATTCTTTACTAAATACAATAGGCAAGCATAACGTTCGCATTAAACAGGATGTTTGGTTCAAATAAACATTTGAAACAAAAAAGAAGAATTTCATTTTTGCTTAATGAGATCGGAAACATTTGTTCATATAATATATGTTAGAAAAAGTTCTCTTAAATTAAATCAAATATAGCCGAAGGAGATCAATGTGATGAATATTTTAAAGAAGTTAATGTACAATTGTCAACTTTATCTTTTCAAAACTGAAGCTCGGGGGATCTTGTGTCTGTCTTTTGTCATCATATGTATAACTTGGAAATAGAATTAGAAGAATTTTGTACATTCTTTTTTTTTTTCGTTGTCTTCTTTTTTTCCTTCTTTCTTGTGGCCATTTTTTTTTCTATATAACGAGAAGGAGAGAAGAGGGAGAGAGAAGGAGAGTATGTAGTGGTCATTCATTCATTCAATTCTCTTGCTGTATAAGCGTGTATTTGCCCATCATCATCATCGTCATCATTGCTATACAAGAGAGGAGACGAAGAAGAAGAAGGAGAAAAATCAGTCAGTATAATAATTATTACTCTCGTTCTCTATTCTATCCTATCCTATTCTATCCATACAATCGAATTGATCCTCTCTTTCTTTTGCTTGCTTGTCGTTATACAGTTTATTTATAAATTCATTTCTATACGGATCGAGAAGAAGACATATACATACTTATGTTGAACTTTAACTTGACGTAACAAAAAAAATTCGCCTACGCCCTTGTATACAGATTAACGATTTCGTATACGACGAACAGCTCATTTACTACAAACTACTGACAAATGAATTCAACAACAACAACAAAAACAATCTTTGGTAAGTTATTTCCTTTTTTACTTGTGAACTGTCAAGTGCCAGATTGAGAGTACAACAGCCGGTATATATCTATCCTTGATTCAAATTGACAGCTAACAATTTTTTTTACGTGTCAATTAAGATTATTTCTTATATTGGACATGCATGTACACGTTACACAACAATCTTCTACTTGACTTCGTATTCAAAAAAGAATGTTTCTATAACAGGCCATTGTTTTTTCTTTATTTCTATATTGATTAGGGATAGCGGCAATGATGTATGTTACGTCTACAAAGATTATTCTTTTTAAGTGTTAGAGTGCGATGATGTTGATGATGATGATGATGATCATGACAGGAGCTTGTGTCGATCTTTGTAACAAATCTGCCCTACTTAGTGAGGAAAAACGACAGATGAGATGAACGTGTAGAAACAAAAATAATCAGATAAGGGCGTTAATAACAATAATACTTCTTACGGCATACGTGTATGAGATAACTCCCTGCGGCAACTAGACAACCGGCAATCTGTATGATCGAAGATCTATTGGTTTAATTCATTATTTCGGTTGTTGTTATATATATACGGAGATGTCTGCAATTCGAGAAGTGCGAATACGAAGATTGAATTACTGTGAAGAAACATGGGTTATTCATATCTATTCTTCTACGCAATTTGAATTAGTTTTAAGTCTGTCTTTTCTCTTGTTCATGTGATTGATATCAATATCATGTTGTGTTAAAAAGAAAAATCGAGTTGAATTTCCTTCTCTTTTCTTGAGAATCAACATTTACTCATATACTGATGTTCATATATTGTTTGTCTCCATCTCAATTGTTAATTAAGAAGAGTGACCAAAAAAGTTTGCTTAAATCAAACACATCTGTCTTGACCTATATTCCCATTTGATTAAGAACGAAACTTCTGGTTTTTGTACATAAAACAAAAGACTGATTTCCGTTTAGACATATTTTTAATTCGTTAGTCAAGATGAATAAAATATGCGTTTAGTTGACAGGCATAAAATACGATCAATCTCGTTTTCATTTCCCTTTTGACGCGTCTAGGCGATAGGGCAGATAATGATGATCTATTTGATTTCAAAAATGCAAAAGGGGAAGAGTTATAGACAAAAGATGATTGACATTTTGTCGATAGGCAAAAAAAAATGAAAGTGGTTACGCTTGAATAATTGATGAGTGAAAAAAAGCACTCACTATGTGTGTGAAGTCAAGACTTGCATTGATAACTATCAGCCATGTTTAGATATGGGTGCAAACGAATTAAAATGACACGTCCTATGATGATTTTTTTTGATAAAAAGACTAGAAGCCTTACAATTAAGATTGTATTATTATTATTATTATCATCTTTTTTCATACATACATTTGTATATATATAGGAGTACTATTATTGGCTATTACTATTGGTTATCTTGAATCATCAGTTGTACTTAGTACAAGAACAATTACGGAAAAACAAGGTCGTGATGTTGTATTATCATGTCGATTCGAAGGTCTTACCGATCGCGATCGAGTCATGTGGTAAGAAAACTCAAGATAAAAAGAAATAATATCATTTTTGTTTGTCCATAGGTCAAAAGATGGTGTTGTACTCTCTGTTAATCAAGAAATCTCAGGTGATAAACAAAAATATGAAATTATAGGAAAATATGATTTAATTATAAAAATAATTGCTGGAAATGATAGTGGACGATATCTATGTCAAAACTTTGATCAAGCTTTATCAATGACTATTGTATTAACGGTTTTAAGTAAGTAAAAAAAACAACTAAGATCGTGTAACAAAAAAACACAACCTTGATCCCACACAACATACACATGTCTTTCTTAGGATCAGACGAAATTCGATCTCAACCGTGTGTATGTGTATGTAGATAGTAGACTTTGATTTTAACGCACATACATTTATAAAGCCTAAGGCAATGAGTACTTTCAATTTTCAATTTAAACATATATGTATATGTATATGTATATATATATGTTCAACTCAATTGTGAGACACAAAAGAACAAGGCCATATCGGCGTATAGAATGATAGTGAAATTGAAGCCGATCAAGCACGAATATGAAGACTAATCATACACACATTGTCGTTTTCTTTTGTATTAAAAAGAAAAGAAACATTATTATTAGTAGATGTATATTTTATGTTCTGAAAGAAAAACATCAAAAGAAATATTGAATTTATTTTCTTTTTTTCGTTCTGAGATGAAGGCGCGACAAATATCCGGAGTATATTTCCGTGTCTATGTTTAATGGAATGCATGCGCGACGAGCAAATAGTTAGATTGTCTTTTTCTTCCCGATGGGATGCAGCATATATGAAGGTCATGACAATGATCGATGTCTGGCCGTACTTCTATTGTTTCTATTACTGATACTAATCAAGGACATGAAGGTCAAAATATATGAACTGTTGATGTAACATTTTTT